TAAAAACAGTCCAATAATATACGATATTTGCTTTTATTTCCAAAATTTAATATACAATAACAATAGACGCACAACCTACGTTCGCGTGAGAATTGGCAGCCAAGATGAAAACTTTGACTGGAACATAACAACAGGTAAGTGATAAAGAATAAATGTGATATGACATTCAGATCTGTAATTGAAATAACCAGCAAGAATAAATGGGTAGACTTCCTTATCTGTTGGCACAAACTACCGAATGAAAATATCGATTATTCGATTGTTTCATTCGATATATCGTTTGGTTAGTTAAGTTAGGTTAACCTTAGCTAAATAACCAAACGATATATCGAATAATCGATATATCGATCGATACTTTCATTCGGTTGTTTGTGCCAAAAGATACGGAAGTCTACCCGAATAAATCTCCGTTTTACCTAAATATTTAAACACAGTGAAAGTATTTTAAACCCTTCCAAGAGCTTTACAACTTTTAAAATAGAGACTTAGCTATCGTTATTATATTTTACCTATATACAGTAAAGCTATACAAAACCGATATTATTGCAGTTATAAAGCGATAGCAGTATTTTATGCAAAGTTTTACTCGCATAGTGTGAACTTGGAGGCTTTGATTTCTGTACATCCGATAACATTCTTTACAATGTGTAACATCACATAAAATTTGTCTTTATATAACAACTACCTCCAAATTAAATTGAAAAAGTTGATATCGAACAAGTTAAAGCTAAGACAAAAACTTAAACATAATGAACCTAAACCATAATGGGAAAAAGCTCGAAGTTAGGTTTAGTAATTGATATAAATATTATTACTAGTTATCAATAATACTGTACAACTAGCATTATTCATTGAATGCGAAAGAAAATTACACTAGATTCAAAGATAACTGGCAAAGCATTAAAATGTTGTCTATTTGTTCCAAACATTTTCTTAAATAGAGTTTTTAATGACTTTAAGTAGATAAATATATTGCCGATAGGTAAAGTATGTGTGTAAACAAAACATACGAGTACTACAAAAAAAAAAAAAATAAATAAATAAAAAAAAAAAACATGAGTTGGGTAAGGAGTTTTCCCAAAGATAGTTCAATCTGCAATGGATGCTAGCTTTGTATTTTTTTAATATTATAGGATCCGTATATTGGTTTTAAATTTTTTTTGGTTATGTAAATCAATAAAAAATAGTTAAAAATAGTTAAAATGGATAAATGTTGTAATTTTGTAGCACAAACATGTTTTGTATGTTAAGAAGTTACAATAAAAACAGCAAAATGTTATAAATTTTCACTAGAATAGTTGATAAACTTATATGACTAGAGCAATCAACTATAAATGCAATGAAACAACAAGAGGAATGTATAAAGTAAAATTACTCTATTCTTACTCTAAAAAGGACTAGACAAAAGATAATTTATATTGTTAAATTGTCAAATAACTATCAAACAATCTTGGATTGACTGCGAACTAAGAATATTTGATTAAATACGAGTATATACCATTCATAGTGGGTTATTTGCATGGCAAGTAGTCATTCGAGATTTAATCATACGTTTTAAAAACATTGTTTGGATAAGAGAACACATACGAATAGCAGGGCAAATGCTAATAAATAAATACATTTTGAGAGACAATAGTCAATATAACTAATGCATCTATCATGATGAGAAGCATTTTAGATAGAATATTTATAATTTTCAATTCAAACAGGTTTACGATTTGAAACGGAATGGTTTTAAGAATTTTCAAAACTCATGAGCAAACTCAAACGAAAACATTTAATCATATAAGCATATCTGCTTCAGCGTAATTTTAATTGAACTACATCCAACCTTTCATAAAAATGAAACTCTGACCAAACTTTATTAAAAAAAGATAACCACCACTTATGTGTATGTTCTCATACCTTAGTGCACTATAGTTCACAAACTTACACCTAGATAGCACGGCAATCACAGAGTTGTAACAGATAAAACTGCCATCTTGATCCCATTTTCTTTTTCGGTTGTGTTTATTGTTTATAATATTACACTTTTAAATTGGGGACCATTGAATTTCCGTAACTTTATGACTAAACTATTAACAGATAAGTGTTTCTCATTACAATATGGTTTCTAAAATTTCATTTATTTGGAATTAGTTGGAATTAATAACCTATGTTTGTATCTTCTAGTTTATCATTGAATTATTTATAAATTAACGTTTTTGATATGTATTCGTACATAGGAGTGCGTTATGATTTATTAAAGCTTATACAGTATGTTTACTGCATAAACATTTTCAGTTATGATAATTAGATTCAAACAAAAGGGAATTTTTAAGTTGCAGTATAAAAACTTAACAAGACTCATCAACTTGTTGCAGTATACGAAAGTTCTATAAGGTTTTTCTAAAATTCAACATAATATTTAACTATGAGGTTAACAATTAAAGTTTTACTATGCAATTAAAGGTTTTTAATTATTCTAGCTGACTAGATTATTGCCATATTAAAATGCATTCATGAAGGTTATTACTCAATTAGCCTGAAACAACAAATTGGTCGAAAAAATCAATAGTTAATAGGTAATAAGATAATTTATCGAGTACTTTTTTACAAGAGGGTTTGGGTAGATTTACTAATATTATTTTATAAAGAAAAGTCAGATGTAATAATTTAGCAATACATTTTCTACGCTGTTTCTATCTCGTCAGGTGACATAGACTTTTTAAATTATTTTACTAAAGATAATCACAAATTTCTTTCCCTTTATAATATCTTCCAGTCGATTTGACCTTTGCAAAGAACGTTTGAACCGTAACCGACAAAGGACCGATGTACAGTTGACTTGACAATGTCTTTAAATATAAACCTTGCCTACACTAGCATTTATAAACTCCAAGAGAGAAGAAGCAATAATGAAAGTGCAATTGAAAGACATCAAGTAAAAAAATAGTTTCGGGAAGCATGTGAACTACAATAGTTAACTGTCGCAATTCTCACTAAAACTCTGGTGTAACAGTTAGTTTATTGAATGTTTTAATCGTAACGAATTTAATATCATAAAATTCATTTTACCCTATTTTACATAATGTTTGATTTACATATAAAACACTGCGGAGGTTCGTGCTGTCAGAGATCTACACGGGGTCATGTGCTAGGACTCAGCGGACAGGTAAAAATCGATGCTTAATATACATATGAAATATAAGCCTAGTATTTATAAACAGTGTTTAGAACATGATATTCGTGTCTCTAATGCTAAACTGTTGTGAATACCCTCCATGTCCCCTACTCTAGTCGCATCGTCTTGGTCGAGTTGAGTTGCTAACCTAAACTACTAGTGGTTGCGAGGCACTCGTCCAATGAAAATCGAATAATTTTCAAAATAATTACTCATTTGTCATAATGTTTTTTGTTACGATTTTATTTTTACATGGATCGTTAAGATAGGTAATGTAGGAAATGTTATAAACTTACTCGTATGATACCACTAATATGTGATAGTGGCTGTTGCACTATTATTATATTAGATTTATGAATGCTTCAGGACAAAAATGTGTATATAAAAAGGACAAAATATGAAAATCCATGTCGTGGTTCTACCGCTGGACGCTAAGGTTTCCATTCTCTACGGATAAATCCCCTTTAAGATATTGTGTAGTCCAATTGGAGAAAAAACGTAAATGTTTGGACATTAAGAGCTTAACACTCAATAGGAAATTCCTTGAGGCTAAATAATTTGTCCATCGTATTTGATCTCAAGTCTTGTTGAATGAATCATTAAAATGATCCTCAAATTTCTGAAAGGTTACGGTTTTGTGGATTTTGAGCCTTAATGTGAAAAGGGGAGGTGCAAGAATGCAAGCAGTTTTGGAAAACTGACACTTAAAAACGTTCATTTAACTGCACGTATGACTTGTATTTAACCCAGGGAGTTTCAAATGCACTGAGTAATCATCTAAATTCTAAACTTTCTTACACAAAACGTTTTTGTTTATATATAAATCCGAAAAACCTTGCTTCAGACTAAAACTGCAAATGTAGATGTATTGTTAAGAGCCAAAAATCACGAGAAAATTATTTTAATTTTTAGGTATAATCATTTGCAAAAATATCCCTCCTCTTATTCTCCGCCAACGATATAAACAACTCATGGATCGCTGGCTCAGTGTTGGCCGCGCGGTCGAGCTTCCCCCACCATCGACTGGCAGAAGCCGACGCAGCCCATACATTCACCATTATAAAACACACTTTTTATTTGCTGCACTGTTGAAATTTATAGGGATAAAATATTGCTAACGCTTGTCAAACTCTTTTTACTAGTTAAACCTTTTATGTCTGTTTTGTTTCTTGCAGAAAATAACCCATTTGAATTCTTTAAAACTACAAATTCACTAAACCCGTTTTGTAGAGTTTTTTAGACAACTGATATTGCTAGTTCCAAATTGTACATGGTAAAATAATAAGTGATTACAAAGGAGAAATATGAAGTACAATATTTGTGTTTGAAATTCTATTTTATTAATCGAAAAACTAGTACATAAACATTTAGAATAATTTTGCTAAGTTTTTGCCGCAGTGGTAACGTAAATGTTTGACGTAAACGCGATATTTTTTTCTTTCAATGTTTAATGACAATGTATCTTACAAAATAGGTCATAAAAAAGTATGCCTATCACGTTAATGTCAAGCATAGATTTGCGGTAAAAACTGGACAAATGTAGTAGGGTTTTTAAGAGTTCAAATGTGTTATTTTTTGCACGAAAAGAAGAAGACATAAAGTTTAGAATAGTAAAAGTTTTTGGCATGTATTAGCAATATTTTATATCTATATATTTAAACAGAGCAGCAACTTAAAAAGCCGCGTTTTACAATGGTGAGTGTATGGGCTGCGTCGGCTACTGCCAGTAGATGGTGGGGGGAGCGAGACCGCAAACAGCGCCCGCAGTGCTACTGAGAGCGCAATCCAGTAGTTTTTACATCGTTGTTCTCCGCATGATGATAATTAATCACACATAAAACAACGAACTAAACAAATATTATTCTAGTCCAAAAATTAATTTAGATTTATATATTTGATTCAGTTTTTGACAAATGGTAATCAACGTCGACGATTTTGAGCCTATTTATAGTACGATGTATAATACGATGCCTTACGGGATACGAATCCGAACACGTTTTAAACGCTCGTATTACTTTACAAAATTTACATTGAATTTCTCTTCTGATGTAGTATAGTGTGTTTTTATTTCATGGCTTCATGTGATTGTGTATTCAGGTGAATGTTTTTATTTCAACATTTGTAACACTCTGTAAAGCGCTATTTAATTTGTAAGGTACAATATCAAAGCAAAAGTATGCTAACCTCAAGTCCAGATTCAAATTATGAAGAATTATAGGTTGCCTGTAGGGCGTATATGTCTAAAATGAATAATAATGGATTTAAGTTTTATGAATACAGAAGCTTTTCTAGAATAACATCTGAAAATCCTATTATGTGTGTTGCTAATAACATTGTTATACGTTTTTGTGTTTATGTGTTCATTTTACAAACTTATTCAACACGCACTACGTACCCGCAACCACTTTTAAATCTAAAATCTTCCACTCTTAATCAAAAACTTTCACACAATTGTCACATTCGCTCGTAAATTCCCTCTTAACCACTAATGTGTAAAACGTCTGAGCGTGAGAAAAATATAAACTTTAGAACTCATTTCAACATTGAAGAAAAAATATGTTAATAGAATTTCAGCACCTATTTAGTTAATAGTTTCTTAAGGTACACACAACCTATGACATCAAGCCTGAAGTATCGAGGGTCCGAGGGCGCTCTTGACGGGTTCGACCTTCACTCCTACACCGTTGGGGTTCAAGGTCATGGTCATACCCACTGAAACAAGACAGAAACATACAATTAAAACAGTATTTGCAGTAGTAGATAATTAGTACCAGGGGCTACAGACGAAAGGTCAGAAGCAAAAAAAATATTGTGTAGAAATTCAGGACAATAAGTCCAAGGGTCTACAGGAAAGCATTGTGTAGAGTTGTAGGACAATCAGTCCCAAGGTCTGCAGGAAAACATTGTGTAGTGTTGTAGGACAATCAGTCCCAAGGTCTACAGGAAAACATTGTGTAGAGTTTTAGGATATTCAGTCCAAGGGTCTTCAGAAAATCTTTGTGTGGAGAGCTGTAGGACATTAAGTCCCAGGATCTATAGGAAACCATTGTGTAGAGTTTCAGGACAATCAGTCCAAGGGTCTAAAGTAAAAAAAATTGTGTAGGGTTGTTTGTATGACAACCAGTCCCAAAGTCCACAGACGAAAGGTCAGTAGTTTAAAAACATTGTGTGGAGTTGTAGGTCAGTCAGTCCCAGGATCTACAGACAAATGATCAGTAGTTTAAAAACATTGTGTAGAGTTTTAGGACAATCAGTCCCTAGGTCTACAGAAAAACATTGTGTAGAGGGTGTAGGACAATCGGTCCCAAGATCTACAGACAAATAGTCAGTAGTTTAAAAACATTGTGTGGAGTTGTAGGTCAGTCAGTCCCAGGATCTACAGACAAATGATCAGTAGTTTAAAAACATTGTGTAGAGTTTTAGGACGATCAGTCCCTAGGTCTACAGAAAAAAATTGTGTAGAGGGTGTAGGACAATCTGTCCCAAGATCTACAGACAAATAGTCAGTAGTTTAAAAACATTGTGTGGAGTTGTAGGTCAGTCAGTCCCAGGATCTACAGACAAATGATCAGTAGTTTAAAAACATTGTGTAGAGTTGTAGGACAATCAGTCCCAAGGTCTGCAGGAAAACATCGTGTAGTGTTGTAGGACAATCAGTCCCAAGGTCTACAGGAAAACATTGTGTAGAGTTTTAGGATATTCAGTCCAAGGGTCTTCAGAAAATCATTGTGGAGAGCTGTAGGACATTCAGTCCCAGGATCTACAGAAAAACATTGTGTAGAGGGGGTAGGACAATCGGTCCCAAGATCTACAGACAAATAGTCAGTAGTTTAAAAACATTGTGTGGAGTTGTAAGTCAGTCAGTCCCAGGATCTACAGGCCAAGAGTCAGTAGTAAAATATGTTCGCGGTACATAAATAAATTACCAGTCCCTGTATTAGCCCTGGGACGGTTTGTACAGTTGAAAAGCAGGTAAAGATAAAGTATGCGTACCTAAATGCACTATAAACAAGTTAATATATATGTTTCAACATTAACTTCGGTTAAAAACTAAAAATTTACGTAAGATTTTTCTTAGTTTTTTAGGGTTAGGCTCTAACCTATCGTACACCAATTTATAATTTATCTGAAAAATCCTTATCACTCTTCGTAGTTTTATCTGCACTTCAAATATTGGACAATCAGTCCCACCCTCATTGCTGGGACTCGACTGTCCAACCTCGCCATAACAGGTAATTCATATAGTGTACTACTGTAAAATACGATTTGCTTTCTTTCTTATTTGCCTGATGGTATGGTTATTTTTTGTTTGAAAGTAGAAGCATCTTTGTTTGTTAGCTCAATATAATTGTTTTTTTTTACTGAAGAGTTTTTTTTAACTATCATAATTAGAATGTTATCAACAAAATGCATATGTTCCCACAATATTAATATAATTTATAATAAATGCCCCCTGCTGCTAGTCAATTTGGTTGGTATGTATAATTCAGTATCCAAAATCAATACTTATACTAATTTATAGTAAGTGCACATTCTAACATGCCATGCAGAAGGGAACAACAGAACTATTTCCAATCATAACACGCACAAATGCAGTTATCAACAAATTAAATGCTTCTAGTATACTGTTACTTAAATGTATTGCTCAACGTGTTGTGTGAAAAGTGAAGAATACGAGGATAATTTATTAAAGATTACAGATGAACATTCCTGTGAATGTAGTTAAAAAAATAAAATATGGACCGTTTGTTTATTTTATATAATCTTAAACATTGGTTCGCTCTTAATTATCATCTTTTAGCATAGTAGTCAAATATCTCTATTCATCCATAAACGTCATTCGTTGGAATTTTTTTACTCCGCCCATTTATTAAAAAAAAATAATTCCTCTTTTTAGGAATTACTAGTTGTATAAACATATGCATGTTCCTGTGAACAGAAGAAACCCCTACCTATACAATTTACCTAAAAATCTCTCTTTTTTAAACTTTAATTAATTTCATTAGTCAGATATCACTCTACCTACATCATAAATATAAACTTTTAAGACTTAAGCATCTTAAATTCCGTTTTCATGGTTTTGAATCTAAGGCAGTTTTCACCGTTCAAATTGAGGTATGATGATAACATTTAATTTTGAAAAAATCCAACTAGAGTATGTTGTTTGAAATAATTATCCTTAATTTAAAAGCACACACAGCTTTAGAATCCGTAAAGGCATAAAATGATTAGATCTGATTATATGATGCTATCGAACATAATTATTCGAAGCTATCGAAGATTATTTGCATTCCTGTTTTTTTATGCGTTAGATGACTTCATGTTTCTTATATTTGTTTTTCAATGCAAATAATCTTTAACCATAAGTTTTACTGAACTAATATCAAGCTACATTTGAATTGTTCATTCGTATTCCAAGAAGTATAGCAACACTTTCGATTTTAAATAGAAATACATACTTTATTTGTACCCAAAATACAACATACGTTGTTGTATAGTTAACTTCAATAGCTATTTGTGTACTAAGAGCTAATACACACAACTTTTTCCCTACCACCATAATTAACTTGTAATAACACAGGCTAGTTATGTTATTTACTTACTGGTTGTTAACCAACGTACCAGATCCACGGTTGTGGTCGTAGAACGTATTGGTGTAGAAACGGCAACTGTGTAAACAGCTGGTTAGCGAGCGGAAATGATCCATTCCCACTCTAGAGCGTAAATGATTCATTCCCGCTCTAGAGCGTAAATGAGCTATTTTGCGTACTTTTTATATGTATGGAAATGTGATCATTTCCATGCAGTGGTAGAAATATTTTTACTGTAACTAGGTGTGAGGAAAAACCAACAATCGCATTTTAAATGAGTTAATGTGCTACGCAATGGGGTATTAAAAAATCTTATTATTCCATCAATGTATAAAAGTACTACTAAACAACTATGCAACTAAAGATATCGTTGATCATTGAATGTTTGACTTAGTCTAAAAAGACTACAATATGTACAGTAGAGCATTTTAACTAAGGCTTTGAACGGTTTGTAACTAAAAATTCACAAAGCAAAGGATAAAATAATATTGCGTAGGATGCTGTCGATCAAATAAAACTCTGAAATAAATAAACGCAATCAAGGAGACTCTTTAATCTCTGACGTTTTCTTGATTCAAAAGCTGGAGAAACAAATCGTTGTAGTTAGGTGAAGAGAAACTTTCAATCAGAGGGATTAGGCTGTGATTGGATTGGATTGGCTCTTTCAGATCTTTTAATTAGATAACGGACAAAAATAACAGTTTATGATATCATTTTTGTTTGTGATGGTTTTACCACTTTTGTAAAGTTCATTCCAATGTAAAATATTTTAGGCAGAATTTAAATATTTTGGATCCTCTAATAAGATAATGAAAATAACCCTACATTATAGCAACAACCTATTGTAGATAGTTACGGGACAAAATTTATTAGTTTTAATACTTAAGCTTTTACAAAATATCAACAGTTGAACCATTTTAGGCATTTTAAAATTTGGAATATCTTAAAAACTAAGAAAACCAAACTAAATCTCCGCTTGTCAAAATATCGTATAAGAAGAGTTTTCCTCGCTTCAATTTGAAGATTAGAAAGGAACATTACAATGATGGTCTTGACAATGACAATTATTGCAACTTCTGGTGGTTGTTCGTCTAGAAGCTTGATGGTCTAGAGTCTCTGGTGAGATTACACAAAGAGTGGCGTTTATCTCTTTTGACCCCCCAACCAATCACCAAAATTATAAATTCCCTTCATCCGCTGAGGATTATTATTTTTACTCTCTACACCTATACCAAGGCCCCACTACCTATACATTGGAGTGCATAGTACATAGTATAGTATATGGAGATAGTATTGTTTTCATCATTAAATATTCGTTTTATAGTTTGATTTTTGGGTAGATATCTCCGTTTTTTGCAGTCTGAACCAAACAATTTGGGTTTCGATGTGATGATGTGTGGATGTTAATAGAGCTACAGACTGCACCGACTGCACCTATGGTCTGATTTTGGTAAAATTGTGTACAGTATTACTACCAGGCATTTTAATAAATTTTGACCTTTTCTAAACATTGACAGCTTGGTATAGTTTCGAACTGTTTTTTACTCTCCAATCGTTGCCTTGGCAAGTTCAAACACTGATGGCATATTAGTAGTAGCATAGATTAGACACACTCCCTAAGGGAGTATATGGTATGTAGTAGCAAAAGTTAAAAATGAAAAATGGCTTGAGGTAGTATAGCAAATGAAACACCGCCAGTAAGATTTAGGTTGACGGTTACATCATCTAGTTAATAGCCTCCCCAATCATCACTTACTCCGACCTCATTCTAGCAGACTCGCCCTTCCGTATCTGCAAATCTAGACATGCATCGCTGTTATGATTGTTATTGACTTCGGATGCTATGAATACTGTACTTCTCATTCTTCCAACGTTTAAAATATTTTTTTATGCATTATCCATGTTCTGTTTTGATTGAATGTGTCGATACCAAATAAGCATCTTATATATTTTAGAAAGTTTTAAGTGTGTGCTCCTTTGGTTATATTAACATAAGATAAAATATATTATAAACAACGTTGTATCAGGTCGTTCAAGGGTGTGAAATTAAAAGGAAATAATAAAAGAAATCGACAGTTTTAAGTGTTATTGAGCATAACTAACTTACAATCTACATAAGGATGAAATCTCTAAGGGAGGATAATCTACGATGGTTTGTAGCAAGAAACGCCTGCCACCAACGTGTAGTATAATGCCTATATTTTTAAACCTTTAAACATGAATTAGCTACGATCTTAGTTAATCCAGACCTTTGATACAACGAACCTCAAACCATAACTATTTGACAAAAACGTCAGATAAATTTTCCGCTTTACAATTCAAAGTGGTGGTTTTGGAAAGCTTCACAGTGTTGCGGTCAGGTATCTAGGGGTAGAAGAGTTCTAATGTTGTGGCCAGCGAGGTTATTGAGTAGAGGTGAATACAAGCGGCAAATAATATCAACTAGTGGTCAGTAGGACGTAAGGTAGAGGGGGGAGTTGGTGGTGGGAGGGGGTAGGTCGGATCAATACATGGGTGGGAGAGAGAGAGAGAGAGTAGTGGAGGAAATACCGCGCTCCCAACCACCAACCAACCTTGGCTTCATTCAAGATGATGAATTCTACGCGAACCACACTTTTTGATATTTTATAGGTAATATGACGAAAATATTCATATACTGAGTTGCCAGCCAAGGTTTTTACTGAGGTTACAAACTCTCTATTTCAAAGCTCTCTGCTTTAACAATTTAATCGATTGTAGTTTGTAGTGCTATTTACTGCACATCATACGAAAATAATACTTGATTCCAAAACTTTCCACCGAGATCACAAGCAGACAGTTTGTAAACAATGAAAAAGTACATAAATTGAAAATTGTAGCCTACATGAATCTAGCCTTCCATTGTTATAAAGAATTCACATCTAATTTAAAAATCTAAAGCCATTTTTTAAAATAAAACTCTAGTGCTGTGTTTTACTCTGTAAGCGAAGGATCGTAAACTCAGGCAAACCATTGCGCCAGAAGATGATTAATTTGCTGCTGCCTTCAATCAAATGATTCAACGTCGACTGAGTGCTTTACACAACAGCTGTTGTTTCCTTTAAAAGCTGGATTGATTATTCAAATAAAGAAACAAAATTGCAACAAAACTAGAGTATAAGCGAACTACAATAGTTTACGTTTCTCCGTAAGAATTTCACAAAAATTTAAAATGTACAGTTTATTTTAATTTTCTTCGAATCATATAATTGTATAACAACGTTTTATTATTCAAAACGTATAATTCTTAACGAATGGTGTTTTTGGCCTCTGAGGACATCAAACGAAATAAATCGGCCCCGAGTCTAGGCAGCTATTTTAGCCTACGGTACGGTAAAGCTTGTTCCTCATATGAGAAATTAGTCTCGGAGCTCCCAGTATCGGTGATAATTGATAATCAATTTTATTTAGGAAGGGGTTCAACTACAGTATATATATAGTTCTGTGACGCTATTTTATAACAGGATACACCTTCACGTGTAAAATGAATGTAAAATGGTTAAATGAACAAGCCAGTGGTGGTGAAGCCAGTGATAAGACACGTAAATATCCAGCCAACGGCGCAAACCCGGAGGTATACCGTTTTCGAGCTTTATAGCAAAAAGTCTGGGTACACTTCCACAGATAACTTACGATATATTGTCGGATGAATAACGATAAATATCCAAATATATCTATATTTATCTGGTTTGACATTCATTTTGCAAGGATTTTAATTTTACCATAAATTAAAACAATAACATAAACGAAGCCTTTTATTTCTAATTTACACTTAAATAGTTAAGACTAAATATGGACGAAATTGTTTGTAGGTTTAGGTTCATATTTCTCAATATTTTTATCATTAATACATGTTTTGGTTATTGTTTGTTTTGTTACTTTTCTTTTCATATAATAAATTGTGTTTATGTTTTTATATTGATAGTTTTAAGTTATTAATTAAATATAAATAAAAATGCAAAATTTATGGTTACAATAAAAGAAATTATATACTCGATGTATCGAACCGAACAAGTTTCAATATATATTGTTATTCATCCGATGATATATCGTAGGTTCTTTGCGGAAGTCTGCCCAAAAGGCTAATACTGACACAAGGTCAATTAAATGGTACATTGGTCAGATAAAATAAATAATTTGTAAAACTCAAAAATTGGTCGATTGTGCTGGATTACGAACACATTTGAATAAATACTGGTGTATTGAATTAAATAAAAATCTCGTAAATGGGCGTATGCTGTTTTTGGTCTCTGGAAACATCAAAACGACCAAGTGAGCTAGTCCCTGGTTTTACTTTGAGGTAAGGCCTACGGTAAAAGACTCTATATGGGAAATTTTCTTGAAGAAAAACTCAAAGTTAATATGAAATGATATTAAACTGAATTTTTAAGTTTACTCAAAACAGAAACATTCTTTGTCTTTCAGCAGAAATTCTTTGTATTTATATTGTCGCTTTTTGATGTCATTAACGTTGATTAATCAATTACTTTTCTTCAGGGTTGACAAATAATTGTTGTAGGTTGTTTATTTTATTAATTCCATAAGATTACAAATATTGTGGATTGTGAGCGATTAAACCTATTTGATTCATGTAATTTAAAATAGGGTGCCCCATAACTCTCTACCAATATTTTAGGGCATTGTTCCTGGGTAAGGAACATATCTAAATATAATGTTTAAGTTATCCGGAAGTCCTTAGTTACTCACGTAGCCACCATTTTGTTTTTCACATATAATTTTTTGTCTGAAAAGTGGTTAAACATACGAAATTGAAACTTTGCACAAACATTTATGACAACTAGACAAAGCTACAAAAAAAAAAAAAAAAAATTATGACAATTTTCCAAATTCGTAAAACAAAATGGCGACCATTTATAATTTTTTTTACACGAATAACTTTTTAAGGCAATTTAACTACAAATCGATTGACACCTTGATCGATCGACTAACCTACAGCGGGCACGTATCACTAAAGCTGCCATATCTCAGTTAATATTCATTCAATATTAAAGATGAAGGTGTCATTCGATTTGTTATTAAATTGCCTTAAAAAAGTAAAATATTTGTAAAATCAACGGTTTTTGAGTTATTTAAAATCAAAATTAGAAATTGCCGCATTTTGTTTTATAAATTTGGAAAATTGTCATATTTGTTTTGTAGCTTTGTCTAGTTGTCAAGCTGTTTCTGAAAAGTTTCAATTTCGTATGTTTAACCACTTAAAAAATATATATAAGTAAAAAAAAAAACAAAACAAAATGGCGGCTTTGTGAGTAACTAAAGACTTCCGGACAATATAAATATGATATTTAGATATGTTTCTTACCCAGGAATGCCCTAAAATATTGGTAGAGAGCTCCGGGACACCATGTGTTTATATATAAAACTATGCAAAGAACATTTTATTTTTAGCGATATTATTTTTCGTGTTAATTCCAAAATATCACGTTTCACATATGAAAACCATCCATGTAATATTAATATCGGAGAGGTTTTCCTAGCAATTCTTACATACAGCCTTTTTACTCCGGCGACACACTCTAAATCCCTGCAAGGGACAAATTGAATTTCATATCAACATAATTTACAATATATTATTCACTCTGGGCTGTTTTCAAGCTTGGAGTTTTCCCTTTCAAAGGCAGCGTGATTAAGAATTAACCTGTCCATCGCTGTACGCCTTGTCAAACAGCATTCGTTATAGTTTTTATCTGGAAAATATTAATAGAAGTTTATTTCCACAAATATCGACCAATTAAATAAATCTATTAAACAATGATAAATAGGCCTATTTAAACACGATTGTTGAAATTCTTCAAATGATTTTTAAAATGCATTTTGGGAGGTAAACATCACTGAGCTATTCTTTTTTCAAACCTATTTTTCGAAGATTGAGTTAATTTATAGCTATTGATATAGCCTATGTAAATCAAGGGTGTTAACCGCAGTAGTTTAAGAGAACCAAATCATTACTTTGCTATTACAAATTAGGTAAATGAATTATTTTTTAATTAAATTGATAGCATCTCTTACTTTACAAACTAATCTTGAAGATTTATGTCGTTAAAAATCGTAAGTTGAATTATAAAATTAAAACTATTTCGAAAGGGTACCATAGATATTATTGTTATTTATATTGTTTTTAAGTAATAAAGTTGGCAATGGTAAGTCATGCTCACTAAAAGTTATGTAAAAATAACGTCCAACCACGTCATAGCCAGCTTTGAAAAAAATGCTATACTTCTCAAACAATCATAACTGCTGCAGTGTCAAGTTTATTCTTCGAAACAATGAATTATCAAGAAAGAAATACCTTAACCGACACTCAAGCCTAACAAACAATTCCTCGACGAATAAAAATAACCTAACCCAACCAAACTAAAATCAGTTTTTAAATCACACGTCGTATTAATGGGTGTTATACAAATCAATATCCGATTAAAATAATCCTTATTATTCACACCCTGATACCAAAGCAGCTTAATGGATAACAACAAAATCTCCGATTCAATATTAAAAAGTACTGTATTTGGTTGTTTTACATCTAACTATTCATGATCTGGTTATTTTATTTGATAATATTTTAACCTAATTAGAAATACGATTTTGTGCAACAGTATTGTAATGTGGTAAGTGAGCATTCAGGCCATCGTGCGTGTCACAAAATATATCAAAAGAGACCTACCTCAGAGACGAGAAACAAACATGCGTAACAGCCACGAAGAAACCTTGGTTTTCCAAATGAGTAGTTAGAAAATGCGGAGCCTGGGACAAAAGAGGAGGGGGTAGCGAACTAACTACGTAGCGGAGCATGCAACGGAGGGGGCGCTAGGCTCTAGCTAACATAGATAAGTGACTCTATACTGTATACCGTGGTGTTGTGCTTGCTCACTTGGAATCCCCGACCAATTGCGCACTTTTCGTTCCATTCGTACGAAAGTTTGAGTTTCGGCGCTCATTTTCTGCAAACAAGAAAGCAAGTAAAAAATCCTGCAGTTTAGGTCTACAAGTGCTCGGACGGGTTTTGTGATAATAATGAGAACAGAAATAATTTAGATTAAAAAGTTTTGAATAAAAAAATATTACGTTTATGCTATTAATATTTTTTAACGTATTTTTTAATAAAAACTGGTTAATTTTTTCATTATGTGATAGAGTAAAATTAACATGGATTTTATTCCATGGATAAAATATACATTTACTTTGTAACATATTTTGACATTTTAGGTTCTAGAAATAAAATAAAAATATTATTAGCGTAATCTTATGACAAACCAATAAAAATCTTTAATATTTTTAACAGATGGTATTTTTGGTTCAACCACGAACCAAACATGAAAAGAATTAACGGTGTTGTCTATCCGTTTATTGTAGTTGTATTATGTTGCGGATAATCTTTAATGCAACACCAGAATGCGTATTCATTGTTAAAATGTGTATTATAATGAAATACTTCAATATTAATTTGCTTCAATATTAAGAAGAACTAGATATTATTATCATTTAAACTATTATATTTATATACGAGACTTATGTATTTACGGACTTGTACTATACCCCTAACGTAATCGTAAAGAAGTTCATAGATATACTGAACCGTTAGGTATAGGTTTTTATTAGGTATAAGTATATAAGTTAAATATTTCATTTTAACAATTATCTTGAACATTTTATCCCATATTATTATTTTGCATGACGTTTATGTCTTCTATCAACAGTAATTAGATCTAACAAAAAAATCATCCAAGAGTTTTTTTTATTAAAAAGAGATAATTTATAAATTTAGATATTTTTAGATTATAAATTTTATGTATGTACATTGTACATGATAAAAACATTTAACAGAGTGTTTCGTGTTTATTTTCTTATGCGAATTTTATATCTACTTACAAAGAACTGTATAAGAATTTATTTAATAATTTTTTATTTGAATAATGCTCATAAGTTAATTTGCTATTTTTGCATTTTGTAACTTAAATACTTATTCATACATACTAAAATTACTACGGACACATAAACTATGATTTATGCGAACCATTTGTGCAACTTATAAATTTAACACTGTTAATTATTTTATCAATGGTGGTTTACACATTTTACGGATATTGGTTAAAACGTGGTTGTTGGATACAAAATGAACCCGTGTCGCTACAAATAAAGACTGCAAAATTTCTAAGATCCACCTTTTTTAAGTCATTAAGTTTAATAAACGTTTATAGATTGAATACATTAAACAATTAGTAAAATGAAGTTATAACCAGAAATTTTCGCAGCAGCTAAGAGAAACAATAAATACTGTATACTAAAAGAATATGCAAATTACAATATTTTTATAAAGGAAGATCTCATGAAATCAGATCAAATGTAAATCGATGACTTATTTGCAGAACAAAACACAATACATAGTGAATGCAAGCGTGTTGCAAGCGCAGTTTAAACAAGTAAAACTTGATATTGTGTTGAGAAGTTATGAAGCATCAAAACTAAAGTAGTTACATGTTTTGTTTTTTGATATTATTATCAACTATTTGCCTATTTCATATACGTACTGTCTAAAAAGTGTTTTTTACGAAACAAATAAAAAGAATTGATCAACACAAGTTACATGACCTTATTATTTATTTATTATATTATTAGATAGAAATTAGCAATTATTTTGCCGGTTTTTCAAAATAGTTGATCCATTTTAAGGCATTTGTTTTAAAATAACGATGGTTTAAAAACATTACATCCCAGCTGATATCACCTGATCTGTATCGCGTTGGCCTAGATTTATGGAACGGTAAAGCAGCATGTTACAGCTACAGCCGTCAATCAGCGTGGCACAGCGACTACAAGCAGCCGAAGCCAAAGCACATCAAGCAACCAAGCACTTACCCATTTTTGGTCCCATAATGTCTTTCGGGTGATTCGCTTTAATGGCATTCATCCGTCGGTTTTGCACGGAGACGGGGCCCCCCGTGGGGGTGGTGCCGGGTATGCCAGGGCCCCCGGGCCCTCCCGCGGGTGTGGCGGCCTGTCCGGGCAGTCTAGGGCCCCGTGGCTGCTCCACCGGCAACACTCTACGTCTCTTCTTGGGCAGCTTGGCCCTCGCCTGCGTGTGCGAGTAGTACATGGCGAAGTTGGAGACGATGACTGGTACGGGCAGCGCTATCGTCAGCACTCCCGCCAGCGCGCACAGAGCTCCCACGAACATTCCCACATACGTCTTAGGCGCCATGTCACCGTAGCCCACCGTCGTCATGGTGACCAGTGCCCACCACAGGCCCAGCGGGATACTATTAAAGTCGTTGTGGGGGTTCGCCTGTATCCTCTCCGCGTAGTAAACTAAACTCGCGAAGATCACTATACCCAACACTAAGAAGAACACTAAAAGGGTGAGTTCTTTCGCCGACGCGCGAAACGTTTGTATGAGGATCTTGAGACCCGAAGAGTGTCTCGTGAGCTTGAACAGTCTCATGATTCTTATTATCGAAAAGAACTCTAAAATGTCCGCGTTCTCGAGGTGCGACGCGTATCGCTGCAGAGTCAGATCTATGTAGAAGCTGAGAGTGGCGATGTAGTCTATGATGTTGACGGACGCCTTGATGAAGTCGCACTTGTTGGGAGAAGCGACGAAGCGTATCAGGATCTCCAGAGTGAACCACGCGTTGCAGACACACTCGATGTAGAAGAAGGCGACGTGCGCGTTGGTCTGTGTCTTGTCCAGGGTCCAGCCGGCCGTGTTGTGAGACGTGTTGACCGTGATATTGACAATCACTGGAACCCTCATGTCGGGATGAGTCTTGAGACAGAACGACAAGATCGACACGCAGATGAAGAACACCGAGATTATCCCGATCATCTGAAACATTACCGACATAGTATTAACATTTTGTCTCATTGTGAGCATTACGGACATTGTGGTAGAGTCAGTTGTAACATTACAACATCATGTTAAGGTCAGTACCTATATTGTGTTAAAGTTACTTGTTAACCATACCCTAAATGACTGAAGCTCTTTAATAGGGATTATTATCATCATTGATCCATTTGATCATTGAGTTTGTAACTTTTCAAACTTTTTTAAAAGAATCTTGTACACATATAGGTAAGCTATTTGAAACTACTCTAATGGCAGTAATATACGAAATACATATAAAAACCCATGAAATAGTGATTTGACGACATAGATAATATTAGACACTTTGTTGTGTTTTGTTGTCAAACAACACCCTTAGTTGTATTGAGCGTTTCGTATTAAAGAACGCTGAGGATGAGTTGGCATCAGCAATAACGCGATAGCTGAGTTGGCATCCACAATATCTCCGTTGTCCCGCAATACCCGGCCTCAAACACAGCACAAAGCTCATCGGATCTGAGATATTGAACTGTCACAGACTTAGTAACGGTTCAAATTTACTCTTCAAGACCACTATTTGGGAAATTTCACTTATGTCACCTATGGAACGCGTTAGATGCAGTTAAAATAATTCCAAGCACATTTAAATATTGTTTTTTCAGCAGTAGTACAAACACTGTAGCGGTGTGTAGTAGTATGGAGTACATTTTAATACAAGATAGAGTGTTTTAGGGTGTATCTAGTAAACCTTTGTTATATAAATGTTCCTTACAGAGTAGGCATATATTTGTGATTTACTACATTCGTTTCCCCAAAAATTTAGATTTACTGTAAAATGACAAATGCATTAGTGATAACAATAATTTTGTTATTTTCGAACAGTATAATCAATTATTCTTCGTTCACAGACAGAAAAACCAGATAACACATATTTCAATTATTACTATTTTGCGTATTAGTCTAAAACATAATTATTTTTAAAGAAAAGTACGAAAATGGATCGATAATCTCCCAGCACAAGGAGTTTGAGCACACATTTGGAAAATTAAAATTAAAAGCAAATAGCAAACAACGCAAACATAACAAGGGAAAATAACAATACGCGATTTCAAGATCTCTTGCAACCCTAAGGTTGTGTATGAATTGCGCCAAAGGGTTCTTTAATTGCGCCAAGCCCTCAAAGGGCCCCAAAAAATATTCCTTAGTTGGGTCAAGCCTAAACCAGGTAGAGGTGAGTTGCCGGCAGAAGGAATGTCCTTGTTTACGTGTCATCCTAACCTAACCTACTCAATTATACAATGAAAGAGGATCGCCACTTGGTTTACGTATCGGGTGGCTCCCTGGAGTAGTTGGCGCAATTCAGGAATCCCCGACTACATGACTCAGGTCAGTTGGTGCAATTAATGCCCACCCAACTCTAAATTTGACATTATGAATACCGGGTTTGATCCATATAACATATCTTAAAATCAAAATTAAATACTTACTTGTAGCTTTACAAAATTATACATTATGACACATATTGCCATTCACTGACCAAACAGTGATTGGTACCATGACTATGGATATAACTAGACACTCTATTTCCATGTTTATGTTAGTTTAAATACGATGTCAATTGCTAATTTTGAAAATAAAACATATCTACGACTTTCTTGGGAAAGTGTTCAAAACCAAACTTTTTTGGTGATATTTGGAATTTATTTTTTGATTTTGGTCGAATGTGCCATTCGTTGATCCAAGCTTAGCTGAAAAAAAACTGTAGCATTCGTCCTCTATGCCCCAGCAACAATCACCGTAACAAACTGAACGATATAAAACAGAGACTGTAACACACACATGAGCTTTTAACTACAGGTGAGTTAAAAGGATGTGTTATTTACGTACAAAAGTCAAACCTGATACATACTTTGGCAGTGTTGGAGGAGTAAGGCTCGTCAAAGAGGGACCAAAGTTGCGGCTTGAGCCTCTGCCACCAGGAGAGTGTGCCCTGGAAGTAGTCCTCCTCGAACCCGAACTTCCTGGCCATCTCCTCGTCACTCGGCTTGTCTGTGTCCAGGTCCAGCCTGTCCAGAACAGCAAGGGTCTCCTGGGTGTCTCGATGCTGAGGACAGAACATGGGTCAGCTTGGAGTCATTGGTAAATGCATTTGTTATGTCCCACCTTCACCTAGGCGCTGGATGCTAACCCGGAACTGTTCTACACATTACTTCAGGCTAGTCCTGGAGGGTCGCGGCATTATCGCATGGGTAAAATCCATTGGTGATTGGCGAGATTTGAACCCGGGACCTCAGGCTCTGAAGCTTCGAGCTCTACCTCTAGACAAGAGTAGTATAATTCAAGACAATACCAAGAGTATTCAAGAGAACTTTTCACACAAACTAAAAAAAAATATCCTAGATAGGTTTAACGAAATTCAGGATATAAAATTTGATTCATTGCAAATGATTCTTAAATAAACTTTACCCATACTATCGTGGTATTTTTGTTGTTGCCAACAACTATTTAAGTGTTTTTAAGCATCACTTGTTTAAAAAAAATGGTACTACTGTATCCTAAAAAAACATTCATAACTGATTTGAGAAAAAAAATCTAAGACAAAAGTCTTAAGATTTAAAATTCAAAGCATAAAATATCAACTGGGAGGTAAAACAAGTGCCGTAGAGACGAAAATACTGAGGTAGTTAACGCTGAAGACATAACCAAAAGATTAGTCAATTTCATAATTCACTCTTACAAAAACCACAAAGAGCAACTTTTTGATTCCTTTGGAGAACAAGAATAAGGCAAATGAGATAATCCAATTTCAGCGAACTTCCTTAATTGTGGTATTTGTAAGTCTCCGAGGTCTCTTTTAACAGTGAATTGAGTTGGAATAATATTTGTCTACTATAAACCTTCCACTCTATTTAACATAATATACAAAGCTGTGAGTTTTGCTCGACAAATTTAAAACTCTTGTGACTGATTTTAGTAAATAAAGACAATGAGGGAAAAGTTGTACAAATTGCGCACTTAAATAGGGTTCAAAACATGTTGCATAGGTACCTATTAAATTTGTTCGCAATTTCGGTAAGGTAGATACACGAAATTCCAAAAAATTCAAATAAATACGAATAAATAAAATATATGCAATAATTGTATATAATATTGGATAATTATGGTCATTGTGTACTGAATAATTTGGTTTTACTTCAATTTTTAGTTGGCTTATGATACTTAAACCTTTTCCCTATCTCAATTTGAAATACTCATTAAAATAATTACAAATACGTTTTTAAATTATCCTACAAAAACACACCATAAAGGGGGGTTACTTTACATAGTCATCACAAATAAAATCAATAACTTCATGGCTAAACTTTAAAATTGTTAAATAGTTTATTTGAGACCATGTTTGAAGTGCATGATGTATTGAGCACTGTAAAGGGTCGAAAATATGTATAGACCCACTTTCACTCCTGTTTTTAACGGTTATTTTCGCTACACTACAAAGACTAATTATTTTCTCAATTACAACAGATATTGGATATTATCATTGCAGTTAGGAATATTACAAAACTCATAGCATTTTTAGGTTGAGACTTCCATTTAAATATTTACATTCCTTGTACAGTTTTAGTTGTTGAAAATTGAATAAGTTGTAAAAACAATAAAAACATCTTCGTTTACGTCGGAAAATTCAAAAAAAGATAGTAAACATTATTTTCGCATAGTAAATATTCTTTTTCTGTAGAAAACAATGTAATGTTGAATTTTCGCAGGTGATAAACATGTAACGCAAACAGAAATTTCACAGTAGTTTGGCGAAAACTACCTTCTTAAAAGATTGATGACAACTAACCACAGAGAGATAAGATGAAAGGCACCAGGTTATCGTACCCCAAACATGTATGTGTGTTAGAAATATCCCTTTGTTCACCGTTAAAAATACATAACGCACCTTCGAAAAAACTTAGGATGCAGAAGAACAAAACAATGTTTGCTGGGACAAGAAGTCGTAAAGAAAATTCACAGAAACCACCAGTAATTATGGAAAGACAAATTTGAGCCCTCCATTTACCTTCTTACCTCCAAATAAATACCCGAGAGCTTTAAAGTCGTTTAGTAAGTGTAAACAAAGCTGACGTTTTTGTGATTGCGAAGCTTTGCCTAAACACAGCGACTACGTTTAATTACTGTAATAAAGTAGAATCACCCTTGCCCCTTCACCCTTAATGTCGCATCATCACCACCGAGTGAGGGGGGGGTGGCTCGAGGGGGGGGTTATAGAGCTACCCTTATGTTTGATTACCGGTTACAATGGTCTTTTGTAATGTAAGGAAGTAATTCAAGAGATAACAACAAGAGATAACACAAATCTGACTTTTAAGATGTTGGAAATTAGTCATTAATGATAGATTTTCTCACACTGTATGATATAAGTTATATATTTTTTTGTGAGCTACTCAGCATATCTTACATCAAATTTCTTAACGATAAAAAGTGTTGATCTTTAAACAATAGGTCAACTTCAAATTATATTATGTAAGAACAAAAATGTATGTATAACATTCGTGTGCTACTCAGAATGATTAAAAAAATCATACAATGACTTCATGACAAAAATATTAACTATTATACAACGAATCAGTCTACCATTCTGCCAGCGTGTATAGGATTGATACCTGCAATGGGATCAACTTTTTTTTCAGTCAAAATATGAAAATTTTAAATGGAGGATCTCCAATAAAAACTAAACGTAACTGGTTTTAGTAAACAGAAATCGAATTCTTGTGAGTTATCAACTGGCATTTTGTTTTTAATTTTATATAAAATTGTTGTCCATACTGCATTACCCCACTATTCAATGCCATATTTCTGTTACAAATTATGTTTAACCAATTCCCCAATTCTAATGTTAACTCATTAGACTTTCCAAAAACATAATTTTGTATATTACAATATAGCCTGTCTATAATGGTGCATTATTATACTCATCCTACATAATCCATAATTGACGGATTTCGTTCATAAGAAATAATAAAATCTATAAAAATATGTTATTGATTTTAATAGTCTTTTGAAGAGTTAAGGGCACCCACCACTATGCAGGATTTTTTTCAAAAATGTATTTGATGCAATAAGATAGTTTGAATAAAGGTTAAAGGAAGTGTATACACTAGCCACTAGGATACATAGGAAAATCTTTTTGTATATTTATATAGGATTTACAAGTTTCCCCGTTGTTTTTTTTACAATTTATTATTTGTCTTATAATTCTTTATTTATCAAGATAATTCTTTATTTCTTTATTTATTCTGCTTGTAATGATGCACTGCAACTTTGCCGACATTTAATCCATGTTAGCTTGTGTACAAAAATAAAACCACGCATAGTTTACTAAACTTAATTTTATTAAAATATATTTTTACAACAAACTTTTGTAAATTAAAAATGCTTACTCATGGTTGCCATGGGCCACCTACAAATCAAATTTATAGGCCTACTATAAATAACAACTGGTAAAATTTTAATAACCTTACACATAATAGTCCAAAAGTTATATGAGAGAATACGTGTAAAAACGCAAAAAAATCTATGTTCGGTAAACGGCTGGTAAAATTAGCTAATTATCTTACTTGTGCTTAAAAACCTCCTGATGTGCTTAAGTCGCAAGAAAGTAATAATCAAAAGAAAAAGTTAAAAAAGTTTTCAGGATTACCTAAGATTTGGTACATGTGTTCTTAAATGTATTTACTTTAAAAAACATAGTAAACAATTCTGAAATTAAAAATAAAATAGCAAAAGATAGTGGACCTTAAGTGTTTTAAAACTTTAATTAAGTTTATATTGATAAAGTACCTAAACATGTAAAGTAATTAATTTGTAATTTTGTACATGACAAATTATATAATATTTGTTTAATAGCAGTATTTAGTCTTCCCAGACAAAAAACAGGCTTACCCTCAGTAATATTTCCTAAAAGGAAAACCAAGCACTGAAATTTAATCTCCTAAACATTACCGAGGTACGTGTTTCAAAACACTTTTTATGTTCCATTTCCCTTTTATGTGATGAGTGGGAAGAACAAGGACGTTATTGTTGAAATGTTTCCCTTGAATCGTCCGTCTTGGTAACATCCATCAGTGTAAGCGACATTGCTTCACATTTGCGACACGTCTTGTCTTCATCTTCATCAGTCACATGGCGACACGAATATTAAGGCTACATCTCTGAGCTACCGGGGAAACCTATTATAATGCCTTGCAAGATTAGCTGTGAGAGTTTACTGAAATAATTACAGTGTGAATATTAGTGGAGCAGGTTTTCCTAAGAAAAAGTTTCCTGAAAGCACAACAAATACGTCAAATAACACTTGTAATAATATATTTACACTTATACTGTTTACTCACAAGATAGTAAATACATCGAAATCGATCCCAGCTTACCATCTTTTATATACATTTACCGTCTTGTCAGTATACAGTATAAGTTTAAATATATTATTAAAAGTGTTATTTGACGTATTTTTTTTTTTGCTTTCAGGTAATTTAATAACACGTACGATGCTGATAAAGAAGTTATTCAAGAAAAAGTTCTCACCAGAAAGACCTAATCTTATTTAATTAAATGAATAATTTAACCAATTAGAGGTATGGTGATCCTGTTTTTGGTGACGACTAAAGTTTTTTTTTTATCCTTTAAGGCCACATAAATGTGGGAACGTTCAAATAGAATACCATGTACATACAGGTACATAGTTTTATTTAGCTTTACACACACGGAGTGTAACGGAGATGAACATATTTTATTGATAATAGGAAACCTATTATACTGCTTTGAAGATTAACTGTGAGAGCTTACTGAAATAATCACCGTGTGAATTTTAGTGGAGCAAGTTCTCCTAATAAAAGGTTATCACTGGAAAGACATATTTTTTGAATAATGAATAATTTAACCATTCGTAGTACGACAAGGTGATTCTGATATCGGTGACGACTGATGTTTTTTGATCGTTTAAGGCCACCTAATGTGCACGTTGAAATGGAATACTGGGTACATACAGGTACATAATCCTATTAGTGTTACTCTCACGAAGTAATGTAGATGAAAATAGTTACA